TGCTGTTTCCTTCCCACAACTGCTCCTTTGCTCCGTAACCTGTCCACTGGATGGAGAAGACAGTGATGCTGTGCTGAGTCTTAACGTGACATTAGGAACTTACCTGCCTAAGTGTTCATTTGCATCCTGTTCACCAGACTTGTCATATAGCTGGTGAGAAAATATATTATGAGATGTGTACTGAATTAGCTGTCAATTGTAGTGAAGCTCTCCCTTAACTATGTGAGGAGAAAGCTGTTGAATGAGCCTCAGTCTTGCTTTTCCTTTTTCAGCTGAGATGTTTCATTTTAGTCACCTAACCCCAACCAATTTTATTAAGTCTGCTGTCAGCCATGACCCCTGCTGAGGACTGGCAGGGCTGAAATAGTTATGCTGCCTGGTGTCATTCGTGCCAGCAACAGATCACGCTCCTGCTTAGAGGCTAGGGGCTCTGCTCTTGCAATAGCAACCACCAGCCCCAATATCAGGAAAACTTAAAAGGCTCAGGGTAAAAGCCCCTTGCACTTTCCATCGCTCCGTGCTAGCTGAATGGCCGAGAAAGGGTGCCTACGGAGGGCATGGCCTTTCATTTCGGTGCTTTGAGTAGCCCGTGCTGCGTCCTGGAAGCTCAAGGAAAGCATGCGGAGAAATCTGTAATACCGGGAAGGCGAGCTGGCATTGCCCGTCAGCCAGTCTCAGGCTAACGAGTCAGTGCTTGTGCCAGGTGTGCAGTCAATGTTTCTCCCATACCCATGGCAACACCACCCTGAGGTGGTGTTTCCAGTGATTAGCTCATTTCGGGAACTCCCCTGCTGTGCTCAACAAGCAAGAAGAGCAAGCCCTGCTGCCTTCCTTGGGTACAAGCTGTGCCGGTGGGCAGGATCTGGTCTGCGACCAGAACAGTGGAGCCACGGCTCCGTTCAGAGAGTGAGAGAAGGAAACATGCAGTTTGCCCCGGCTGTGGCAAATTGCTTTGTAGGGTGTCTATAGAGCCGGTTTAGGCTACCATTTTTATGGAATCCCTTAAGTATAGTTAATCCTGCATGGAAGTGATTCCCATGAGTCTGAGGTCAAAGCCAAGGTTAAGGGATCAGGAGAGTACACTGTTCGTTTAAACATCAGATTTGGTAGTCTATCCATATCTGTTTCTTTGCCTGTAAAAGGAAAGCTAGGAAAGCAATGCTTCTAAAATTTAGTTCACATTAATGACTCTAAGGTCATAAAAGTGCTACTTAACTACTATTATTCTAATTAATAAAGATACAATCAAAGCTCAATGAGGGGACAGCTGCTCCATCCTCTTCATGATTTAGTGCACATATAAACAAGTCACTGCCTTGTTGAGTAGCCTGCCGGGCAACACAGAGCAATGCTCAATTTTGTGCATCGTGTGCCTTAGCTAGATGGGATGCCTTCACGTGCTGCAAGGAAGAGTAATGCTAAAAGAGAGAAGACTGGTCCAAAACCTTGGATGATCCAATTGTAGCTGCCTGACATCACAACATATTATATTCTTTACATGCCAAAGAAAGTTTAAATCCTGGAAGAGTGATACTTTATCGTCAAGGTAACCAGAACAGCTTCACCAACAATTTACGTGGCTCTTAAGTCTATTTACATGCTTGTTTACTTGGCTTTTCTCTAAAAGAAAAAAAAGTAGTTACCTTAGCAACTGCCTCATCACATGGCGCTGAGGCTCACTTTGCTATCAAGTATCTGCTGCAAGGATCTACATCTGCTTTAGCCTGTGGAATTTGGGGATAGTTTATGCATTAGTTTTTGGTGTGTTTGTTTTAACAAACTGAGGGCTAAATTGTGCTTCTGCAGACGACCAGCAAGATGCTTACGTGCCTCCTTTTGGCTGTGGAGGAACCGCGCGAGGACAACGCCAAGGTGGAGATAGGGGGTAGGAGCGGCAGGGACATACTCCCCGTGGGGGACGCGGATGTGGTCATGCTGTCCGGAAGGGAGGAGAGTTTGGCTATGCCGTATCAGAGAACTGGTGCTGGCCCATTTTATTTACTAGATGTAGTTATCAAGAATCTTTTATATTATAGGAAACCCATATCTCCCTTGAGATCCTGCCCTCATTCACAGAGAAAGCTTAAAAAAAAAAAAAAGAATCCTAGGGTGTCAGGAGGTAGATGCATATCGGAGTAGGATTCATTAGGCTGTGCATGTAGATTATGAGTGTAAGAGTTTTCTTCTTGTGTCCCTTAATCTATTTTTGGAGTTTTGTACTTAATCAGCTTCTGTTCTGATCAGCAGCACACGCAGAAAAGTAGGGGCAAATGAGATGCCGGCCATCCTTTTCCCTTCCTGGGCTTTTTTTACCACAGAAGTTTTTGACTTGAGTGTGCATACTGCCATCTGGGCAAACTCCTCAAAGTTCAGCAAACTAATCACTGATCATGGCTGCGTTTGCATCTTTGTTTTAACGGTGTTTATGAAAGAACTGCTTTATCAAATACCCTTGTTTTATTTGCTTTCCTTGCTCGTTTTCTTTTAATATGAGAACTGCATAGAGACTTCAGACTGACTGCAAGGTAACTCTTATCCTAGAATTTAAATCAATTTCCATGAATGATCAGGGCCAGATTTTTTAAGGTATTTACACATCTTGAGATGAAACCCTGGTGGGATTTTCAAAAGAACCTCAGCAGATTAAAGCTTTGATTCCTTTTTAACCTGCTTAAACACTTGTAAAAAATGCTGTTAAGCCTCTACCTGCATCTCAACCCACCTAAATACCTTTGAAAACTTAGCCCTCTTTTTGTATCTACATTCCCCCTGTGACCTTTGTTTTCCATTTTTCAATTCCATTTCCTTCCCTTTTTCCAAAATTCTGGTATGATACTTGCCTGCACTCTTGCTCTACTCTTTAGAGGTTTCTTAAAATGCGATTTGTATTATTTTCATCTCTTTTAAACTTACATTCATTACATTACTGCTCTATATTAATCTAATTTAGCTTGCATTTTCTTTAGGGCACAAACCTAACTCACTGTTACATGCCAAGCTACTAGAAAATAGGTCTATCGCAGTAGGTATATTGCAGTACTGCAACAACTGTACTAGTTAATAGTAATGATAATAACACCTTTATACAGCTTTTAGCACAAAGATATTTTCCTCCTCTTGGATCCTCGGTCCAAGGCAGCCTAATGGCCTGATTTCTATAGCGAAAGACTCACAGACTGGGAGTTTCCTAACCATTTTTCAGCCTCCCTCTAGAGAGTGAGAGGTATCCTTTACTGCTGGGGAAAGCATCCGCCAGCCTGGCATGATCAAGATCAGCCACGTCACTGCGCTCAGCTGCTTCATCAATCCAATGGCTAAGGACAGGCTGAGGCTTGGCTGTGGCTCTTGCAGCAGGAGGACCGTGCTTGAACGGTGCCACCAGTGCACCAAGCGAATGGGGCAGCGTCCCCTCCACAGACTCACGCCAATGAGAAAGCGGAGGAGTTGGGTGTCCTGCATAGCGAATTCCAGCACATTTGCTGACTCCTCCGCATGTAGGGGTTAACTGATTTGTCTGTTTTGGCCTAATCTATCCAGCAGCTCTAAAATCAATATTAAACTTGGCCTGTCACTATACCTTCCTCCTGCTGTGAACGCATTATCCAGACCACACCAGCTCCTGGCGCGAGCGGTGGTGGGGTTGCTCCCCGGCACAGAGCAGGCTCGGCCGCACAGCTCTCCCCTCGGATCTAGTGGGGCATCTGGTGCCTTTCCCCGAGGAAGCACCCGCAGCTCTGGGTGACATGTGTGGAACATCCTGCCACCTCCTACCTTTTCCTTGTGCTGCTCTTTATCCAAGGCAACTCATTTATCAAAGCAGAGACCGGCCTGATCCCAGTACAGACTAAAATCTTTCTGAAATAATCCCTGCAAAACAGAACAGTCACTAGTGCTACATGAAAGGGTAAAATGCGGGAGCAATCAGCATTTTTTTTCCTGAGAAACATGTAGCAAGTTCTTTCCTGTTTCGTGCTGCCTCCAAAAGGGGAGTGGGTGTATTTACTTATTTACACACTAATGACAACTAATAATAAATACCATTTCCCACCCAAGAACTTCAAAGGCCTAAAGAAAGAGTGCCAGCTATTTAAAAACTTGCTCCGATTTTTTTGAATCGCAGGGAGGTGAAGTAACTGGCCCCAGGCCAGGCCCATGGACTTGCTCCACAGCTCTAATTCCTGTATTGTGGAACCCCCAAGCCCCACTCTCTTCCCTTTTTACTTTTTTAACATCTTATTATACAAAGTATTTTGCCTAAGGTGTATCCCTCTCACTCAGTAATGGACTGCACTTTTTAGGGTATCCTTCAAGAACACATACTTAAGGCAGTTTCTAAAGCACTGATGAGCACAATATAGCCACTTTGCCAAATTTGTCCCTTTCTAAGGTATGTTTTTCAGTTTCGCAAAAACTGAGTTGGCAAGAGGCAGTTGGCAAGAAACAAGCAGAGTCTCTTGATAATTATGTTGGTCTTCCAGTTCGTCACGCCAACGCCATGGATCTGATGTTCTACATCTGCTTTGGTGCTGGAGGGAAAGATGGTCTTGCCGGTGGTGTTGGATATGACCTGGGCTCTGTTTCAGGGTTAGTTTGCTATATATTGCTTTTGTGACCGGGGCAAGTTACTTTTGTGCCTCAATTTCTCCCGTACTACTAGGCTCTGTCAACCTTTTTCCTCTTTATTGTCATTCTCCAGGAACAGACTATTTCTTATCCTATTAGTTATATCTAGTTATATCTCTAGAAAAAGCTGAAAGGTCATCATCTTCTTACTAATGCTGCTAAGGACTCTGCTGGACAGTTCTGTGCTTCCTTAGTACCAAGACCACAGTCCCTGCTTTTATACTTCCTGTACTGCACACTGCTGATCTGGAGATGATTTTCTTCTGTGATTAACTCCTGTCACAACTCACCTTCATCTCATCACTCCTTGCTTTTTTTCTGGCCAAATGGAGCAGCAGAGAAGAGCGAATTTGTGCTTCAAGCAATGACTCTGGAGACTTGGTTTCTATTGCCAGCTGTTTCAACACCCTGCGTGACCTTCACCAAGCCATTCAACTTGGCTCTGTCTCAGTTTCTCCATCTGTAAGGGGATATGAGCATTTGCAGAGCACTTTGAATTGTTATTAATTCTGCATAGAATATCTGAAATGTGGTGAACACTTTAAGATGCTATAAAAGTACAAAGTATTATTATTAAACTCAGGAGGAGGAAGTAGCTGGCCCAGAAGGTGCTTCCTTCATCAATCCTTCAGAGGAAGGTCCTTATCTTTATGACCTAAACACAGAATCTTTATTCTGCTCAAGTAGAGGGTTAATGGGTATAGTTTAAATAAAGCTCTTCTAACCCAAGCTGGATGAGCACCATCAAAATGAATATAGCAGATGATATCTTAAATTTTTCTTAACTCATCTCAATTTAAAACTGAAAGTAGAATTGCTCTGCAGGCAGCATAACTATTTCTACTCTGCTGAGGAAGGCTCTGGTGAAGTCACTTGCAATTGGCCCTTTCCTCTTACCCTCCAATAAACAGTAGACACAGGGCAACTATAACGGCTTGGCAATAGTTGCACGTTCCAGGGTTTTACTGCTCTCATGGGAAAAAAAAAAAAAATGTCATGGACAAATGAATGTTGACAGTGGCCATACCAAACAATTCAAGAAAAAATTGCAGTTTTATATGTATTCCGGCTCCCTTTGTCAATACTTTGAAGATGGTTCTTATTTCAGAGCAGGTATTGATTGTGTATAGGTTAGGCCCCTGGTTCCATTTGTCATTTCTGATATTATAGTGTGTTATCGTTTAAAGCTGTAATGGGAGAGGTGGCTGAGCTTAAAGCAAGCTGGTTGTCTGAAGCTTTGATAAATAGCTAGATGGTCTTTGTTTCTGCAGCAGTGAGCAGTTGGCTGCTATTTGCTTTACCTTTTATCCAAGAATAACTGTGTGATGGGTTCTGGAAGTGAACAGTATCATTTTGTCAGATGTGGTTCAGAACTAGCCGGGTGGTCCTAGCAAAGCAGCTGAGGGATTTTTAACACCCGACAGGATGTGAGCAAAGGCCCTGTGTAAAACTGAAACAATTCTGGCTCCACATGGCTGCTTTGGTCGACAAGTTCTCAGAGTTGTTTTTTAAGGTGAGAGGACGGGAAATGCTGGGGGTGAGGGGGGGAGATGCTTTTAAAAGCAATTCTATTCATATACAAGGATCTTACGAGAAAGACCAGAGGACAATAGGTGGATTAGATTTCTTTGGTGAACTAACAAACGTGCAAATTTTTTGCAGATCAAAACAAAAGGTCTGCTTTTCAGATGCAGTGAGCAGCCGCACCCCAGCCTCTGGAAATCAGGCCAGGACAGTGTTTGTGCCTTGGAGTCTACAGGATTGCGGAGAGAGGGAGGCAGCACACTCATTACATTCCTTCCCTCTTCATCACTTACATTTCTCAAGGTTTTGGTATTGCTTTCATGAAATCACATCTGTTTGTCAAACTCAAAACTCAGGGTTGTTTTGCACCTTGGTTGCACTTCATTTGAACCGCCAGAAGCCTGGAAATAGTTTAGTGCTCCTTTTCCCTCTAACAGACAAAAGTGATCTCCTGACTTTGCAGAACCTCTTCGGTCAAATTTTGGTTTCACAAAACTAAAATCACACCTGTGGGTGGTTCAAACCCAGATTCCATTGAGTCCAGCAAGTTAGATTTAAAATTTGAGTTTAGCCAAAGTCAGTGTGTTACCAAGGTCTGTCTCAAACTGAGTTCAAGCCTGTCCCAAGCCAGTGTTTACAAACAAAGGTAGACAGGGGAATGTGTAATACACTGAGGTTCTCTCTCACTGGTTTGACATGTCAGTTTTAATAACGACGTGCTCATTCACAGCTGGTTTGAATGGGGGCAGCCTTCAGTACAGCTTTGGGACACTTTGTGTTGCTTCTGATTTAGCAGGAAGATGTCCTGTTTGGCCCTTGAGCCTTAGCGTGCCCTTCATTAATATGATAACCTATGACTGAGAGCTCAGACTGCTGTTGCCTGCCTCTAGCCGATTGAAACGGTAGCTCTTAATCCTACCACTGAAACTGCAATTGCCCGAACAAGTAGCAGCACATTGCACCCACCGGTTCTTTCTCAGAAGTCACAAAAGGCTGCTCAACAGCTGAAATAGCTCACACTTCAGGGCAGCTCACAGTGTGATGGCAGGGGTGATCTTCTTTTGTGTCTGTAGGAGTAAAGAAGCAGCTACCTTTCCTGGCATGGAAATAGAAAGAGAAACCAACAGAAAGGTTAGAAGTCAGTTCTGTGATTCTTAGTCCTGTAAGTAACACTAAGTTACAGCAAGTCTTTGGAGGGCTTTGTGAGATTCCTGTTAATTCTTAGCTTATGGTAAGCCATACATACTGTGGAGAAGGTTTGTGGAATGCAAATGTGTGAGTTTGTAGGACTGACCAGGTAACAGGAATAACAAGCAAATAGGAAAAAAAGAAAAAGAAAAAAAAAAGCAATGAGAATTCAAAGGTATGCAGAAACTATTGGGTCTGTGTAAAGTAAGAACCACACTGAAACTCTTCCATCCCTCACCTGCATGGCGATTCAAGCCAAATCCAGGCCTCTGTGGCTGTTTGAGAAGGTTTAGTCAGCTCCTTGTACATCTCCGATCATGCCTCCCTGCTTTTCCTGTCTGTGCCTGGCACTGTATATGTAAAAGTATTGCAAGAGGGATGCTTCTGACAGCAGAAGGCAGCCCAGCACAAATAGGCCGTACCTGTAAGTGTAACATGATCTCAGGAGACTTTCCTACCCGCTTTCTAGCCCAGATTGAGGTTCACATAATAGGTGGCAGTGGTCTTTTGGATGACACCTCACAGCCCCAGTTGGTTTGCGTGCACGTTAAAGGTCACTTTGCGCTTTTCAAAAAACAGACATTTCCTGCTGTGTCCACGGCCACAATGTCCCTGTTCACCAAAGTTGTTCCTCTCTCAGTCCCAGAGATGACTGAATTTCAATGAGGCTTTATTCTTCAAAGTGAAAGGGGCTGTCTTGCAGTAAAATATTGTTCTATTAAACTCAGCCAGATCCACTACTGAGGGCTATTGAGGCAAATAAGAGTAAGGTGATGGCAGTGTGTGGTCGTAAAGTTGCGGTATTCAAAAATGTAGAAAAAGCAGGTTGTCAGATTTCAATAAAGTAGTAGAAATGAATAGATACATCTCAGAGCTGGTTGCTTCCTAGTGGGATGGAATTTGAATAATAATATCACACTTGAACCAACATCAGGCTGGATTAATGGCTAGCACAGGCAGAGTACTCCTGTGGTGAACTTGCAGCAGCACCAGCAGCACCATTGTAGGTGTTACTAATGATATAGAGCAATGCTTCTGCTTGTTTGCACACAAAATGAAAAAAATAAGGGAGGAGGAATTTGAGAATTATTACTTTAAGCTGCAATTTTCAACAAAGAAATCTTGCCATTCCAAACTGTCTAGACCTTTAAAAATAAAAGATGTGCCGTATTTACAATGCTCTTCAGTATTCATGAGGCTTTGCTGCTTGTTGTAAGGCGAGATGAAAACAATACTCAGTAGATTTTCATAAGTGACATGCAACTGTAAGATTGATAGATGATGTGGATTTAATGTATGTGGAGTTCAGCGCCAACATAAAAGCTGTGATGTACCCAAACACTGGGTTTATTAAATCCCTGTTTCCTTAAATGTTCATCCTAAGCCTTTCACCACTTTCTTCTACCCAGAAAAATAAAGAAAAGAATGTAGAAAAAAGAGAGAGGAGAAAGGGAAAAAAAAAACCAAAACAAAAGAAGGGATTCCCCTTAGTTTTGGTAGAGAATTACAATATCGGAACTGAAAGAGACAAATATTTAGACACTCTCTCTGCATAGAGATTAATGTGAGAGTCAGAAATACATGGAATCCACTTAAATTGATGTGGTTTAGTTATGAATGGTTAAACATAAGTATTCTCTGTCAAATGTTCAAACCTAGTGTATTAACTCTTTCCTCATCCCAGTGCTTCTGTATAGCCTCCCCAATTAACTAAACTCTTCTTAGAGACCTCTCCGTGCAGCAGGGACTGCATGCTCCAGCTCTGCTCTAGCAGAGGACTTGACTAATAGATCTTCTGGGCTGCAGGACACCTCCTGCCTCTAGCCACCAAGGGTAGACCTGCTGAAAGCGACAGGAGCTGAGGTAGATGAGCAAGGGGCGCAGGAAGGAGGTACATCACCCTCCTCGAAGCATCAAGCCAGGGGAATCAGGAGCTGAGCTGCTGCTCAGTTTGTCCCGAGCCAGCCATTGGCAATCACACCCTTGAGTCTGGTTCGGACCTGCAAGGTGACTGCTGTTAACCGTTGTCCTCACGAGGCATCTCCCAGGCACCTTTGTAGATTTCAACCAGCATTTCACCCTTAATCTGACATCACGTGGATTATTTTCTCTCTCATTCCAATTTTACCCTTCAGCCGGCATCCTTATGAATTAGGATTGACTTATGCATTGCCTCAAATCCTCTTGAAAACAGCTTTGGAGTTGCTTCCCTTCTAATGTCTCCAGGGGTACAACACACACACACACACACACACACACACACTCCTTGACAACAGCTGTGAGTTACATTTTCTGCTGTGCATTTACAGCACTTTTTAACAAAGGTGTATGTGCTTCTTAGTGGAAGGTTTCACTTAGTTTCAGGGTCATTTCCTGTGACAGCTGAATGTCTGTCTTCTTTATCACCTCAAGATTTAGCGAAATGATACAATTAGTATAGTTGTGCTCCTTAACCTAGCCAGCTGCACTGGAAATCAGGCCATTTTAGTTCAGCTGAAAGAAGCAATAGCATGCAAACTGAGATCAGATCTCCTGCTCTAGACCACATTTGACTTTTTTAAAACCAGGAGTATTACTGTTATATTTATCTCCTGATGTAAGCCACTGGCTGTGCACTGGTGACCCACTATTTAGATACTACACTATCAGTCAGACAAGATTTCCTGTGATGCCCAATGATATTACGAAAGCAGGTGGACTGTGATACGTTGTGCGGGATACAACCAGGAGGGGCTGAAGTTGGAGACAGCTGAATTCAGTTTCTATCAGCTATTCTTTATCAACTATTTGGGGGGGAACTTTTCTATTTCCATACAAAAAATAAAATTTCAATTCTTCTCTTCCCTGCTTTGTCTTTTGCTTAAAAAAAGGCTTTCCCAACAAAATTTTGATTTTTTTTTTAATTGCAACAAAATTTTCTGCTACTAAGGAAATGCTTTCTCATGAGCTGCACTGGAAATCTTTTTAATAATACAGAGGAAGAGTTTCAACTTAAAATTGAGGGACATGAGGCAGGAATGAAAGGGATGGAGGTCCTTGCACATTTGCTCAAATTTGTAAAGAAGGTAAAATAAGGGACTGTGTTCACTCCTCTTTGGTTGCTGGTAAATATTTTAGGAAATTGTTTGCAATAGGACTATTTATTGGAAAAACAAACTTCAGTAAATACTCATGGAAAGCAAATAGCAAATCCAACATATTTGCACTAGAAATTCAAAGCTAAGATATATATTCATGCAATCAGGGAAAAAGAAACTTCTGTGTACCTAGTGTGAGTTTCTGGAATTGAGAACTTGCAACAAAATACTTATGACAAAATGATATACTAAGAATTATTTGCAGAAAACATTTTGAGTAATGAGTAATACAGCCAAGGAAGCTTGTGAATTGCAGGGAAGGAGCTGAAAATCATCACATAATTTTTAAAATGTACCTCTTTGGTTTTGCTGCCTATGCAAAAGTGAGTGCTCATGCTTTGTAGAATCCTTAGATTTTCTACACAGACTAAATAAAACGTGCTTATCTACATAATCACCTAAAGAAAGTGAAAAAGGAGTAAAGAAAATGGATAGCTAAGACCTGGCAAAGAGAAATAGGGAAGAACAGGAATTAATATATGCAAATAAATAAATGTAATGTATTACTATTGTTGTGCCTTCTGAAATGTCCCCACTTGTGCCTTCTTAGGTGTTTTATGCAGTTGTTCCCTCTGCTTGGTAGAAGGGGCTTCCCTTTTCCTAGAAAAGTCTGCTTAGTGTCCCATGTTATTTTGTTTTGTTTTGTTTTTATAATTTAATTGTTCCACGTGGGAAATCCTAATATTTTGTTAAATATTTAAGAGACTCAAAGAACTTTGACAAATCAAAAAGATTCGGTAAAAACACAATTCTTGAAAAGGTTGGGAGTTCATCCACCCCTGCATTCAGCTAACATGAGCATGTGAACTCATCAAATCTGTGGCTTTCTTTTTAAAGAATTAAGCACTATGGGAGAGCACTAACATGTATATTTAGACCTTCCTTTTTTCTTTCTTCTTCCTTTTCTCTCCTCAGCTGCTATTTAGGGGTTTACTATTTTTGTTTAGGTGAGACCTTTTTCAAAAACCCAAGTTGCTCCCAGACTGTTTGTATTTTTCACTACTCATGTTTATTTGCACGCTTTCAGATTGGTATTTGAGGTGCTTGTGTGCCTCAGCACCGGTTCATTCAGAAAGTCACCCCTTTGGCCTATTCATTTGTTGCATCTGCAGACACAAAATGGATGCTCTCCAAAACTACTTCAGATTGATTTCTCTGGGAGTCTACCATTCTTCCTTGTATAGAAAGATAGGACTATTGAGCGCCATCATAGATGGTACCATCTGTTCTCCCTAACAGGTTTTAACCTGGCCTTTAACTTTTTCAGTATCCTGCTAGCCCTCCATTTAGTTAGCTGGAAGCTGTGATATTTGACTTTTCCTCCCATTCCTCACGCAGTAGTAAACATGTCACATTCTACCTGTTTTGAAAGGTTACGGTGAAATCTAAACTTTTGGGATGCAAATATTAAAAGTATGACTGTGTTTCGACATGCTAGGTCATATATTTCCACGGCTCCTTGCCTGCATGTGAGCCTGCAAGAGTGGCAGCTGAGATTAAGTAATGATTTCCTCTTCCTGGCCTGGGACTTAGGCAACTGGAGTTTGCTTCCCACCTCTACCGTAAATTTAGAAACGCTGAATAGAGTGAAGTTCCTTATCAGTTCTAGCACCTTTCTATGCCTGGGCATATCATGAACATACAAACATATCCCCCCTTTCATAAACTCATCAAGCCCACACAGCCCCTGAACAAGTCCCTCTATTTCTCCATGCCTCGGTTCTCCTGTGAGCCAGAGATGATAGTGCTTTCTTTGTTTTGCCTGTAAAGA